CACGACGCCGTATCTAAAGTGCCTGACCAAGGAGCAAGGGGACTACGTCCTTCAGGAGGTCCACAGTGGATTCTGCGGTGACCACTCTGGATCCCGATCGCTCGCACACAAGGTCTTCTGACAGGGTTATTTCTGGCCGACTCTTCACCAGGATGCGAACACATTAGTCAGGAGGTGTGACAAATGCCAGCGGTTCGGTAGTGTCCCTCATATTCCTGCCGAGCCGCTGTCGCCGATCGTGAGCCCGTGGCCGTTCGCCCAGTGGGGACTAGACCTAATTGGTCCGATGCCAGAGGGCAAGGGTCAGGTCAAATACGCTGTTGTTGCCGTAGACTACTTCACCAAATGGATAGAAGCCAAAGCCCTAGCGATAATAACGGCGGCCAAAGTCGAAGATTTCGTCCGGACGAACATTTGCTGCCGATTCGGCATCCCCTACGTCATCGTTACGGATAACGGCAGGCAGTTCGATTCGGAAGTCTTTAGGGAATTCTGCACCCGACTCAAGATCAACCTGTTCTTTGCTTCGCCAGCACACCCCCAATCGAACGGACAGGTCGAAGCCATGAATAAAATTGTCAAGAAGCTGTTGAAACGGCAGCTGGACAGAGCTAAAGGAGCCTGGCCGGAAAAGCTGCCAGAGGCACTATGGGCCATCCGGACATCCTACCGGACGGCGACTGGGGAAACACCATTCTCTATGGCTTTCGGTTTAGAGGCAGTAGTCCCGGTAGAAATCGGAGAGCCTTCCTACCAAACGGAAACCTTCGCACCGAAGGCGAATGAGGAAGCGCTTGCTTTGAGCCTCGACCTGCTCGAAGAACGCCGAGCACAAGCCAACCTTCGGAACAAAGCTTACAAGCAACGCGTCTCTCGGTACTATGACTCCAGGGTCAAATCCCGCTCTTTCCGAATCGGAGATTGGGTCATGCGGAAAGTCTCTTTGGCAACCAAGAATCCCACGGAAGGAACCCTCGGAGGGACTCCAACGGAAAGACCCTCAGTCATCCTTGGAATGTAGAGCATTTGAAGTACTATTTCAAATGAAGTTACCTGGCCTACGGCAGGGTCACGGAGGAGTCCCAAAGGCCTTCGGCGTTGTAGCGTTTCCTAGCCAACGGCAGGTTCTAACTTGTAAAACGCACTCCAAATTGTACTTTTGCCTTCGGGAGTTTATCAATGAAAGGGCCTTTGGCTCATATATTCGGAACCTTTGTTGTACCTTTCAAACTCTCCATTTTCTGTTCAAAAGAAAAGGAATCGGTAGGGACCATTGGTCGCAGTAAAATACACATTTTGGCATCGCCATTATCCTACCGATTATGGGACAACTTTGTAAATTTTATTGACCTTTATAGGCTTTCGGTAATTACGGGCCGATGCTTTGCCATCGGCAAGCACGCCCATTGGTTTCAATTCCCTAACACTTGGAACTTTGTGCGTGAAAGGAAACTTTACTGGCCGACGGCCAATGACACTTGTTTGAGAGCCTTCGGCATTAAACAGAAAAATTTCCTAAGTACATTACCGATTCAGAAGTAAGATGCAATTAAATTAAAATCAAAACATTGAAATCAAAACACAACTTTAATAAAAACACGCCCACGGCGTCAATTATCCAAACAAAAGATGCCAACGGCATCATAGTGCAACGAAATTACAAAAAATGCCCTCGGCATCAAAATTACAATAAATTAAAAGCAGGTGATCAGGATGAAGGGCCCTCGGCATCCGCCCCTTCGGCGCCAGTGGCTTCAGGCTCCTCCGGAGCGTCTTCCCCCTCATACTCCTCGATCATTTCTTCTGTGACGCCTTCGGGAAGGGGAGGAGGATCGGCAATGAAGTTCAAGTTGAGCTTCGTCCCAGGATT